CTTGCTTTTACCTCCTGCCATAAAACCTATTATTGTAGCTTTTCTATAGAAGCTAAGACATTTTCTAATATGTTTTGCGCTGGCTTCGACAGATATATCCCATAGTGTAATATTGATTTTGTTAGGTCTTTTACTTTCTTTTCTATATTTCTCTTTGCTTACTGTGGGTGCCTATATCGACTTATATATATCACTCTTTTCTTCAAAAGTACTTTTGTATTGAGATGTATTGTCCTTAGGCATTTGCTTTTCGATAGTCTCTGCCTTGTTCTTTTCTTCAGGCATATTATTTGTAGTGCTTGTATTACTTTTTGCACTCTTAATACTCCAGATATTAATTCTTGCAATATTTTGTTTTCTGGTAGTTCAAGTCTTTCTTTTTCTTTTTCTGCAAGAGTTTTTTTGTAGATTTCTTCTACTTCATAATCAGTTTGTCTACACTCTTGCATAATCAAGTAGTCTATTAAGTCTTCGTTAACTTTGCTCTCCATTGCATTGATCTTACTATTATTGATAGTATTATTTTTGCTATCTCTTACTCTTATATATTCACAGTATTGATATATTTCTATAATATTTCTGAACAAACTTAGCACTTCAGAAGCTGCTCCTGTTAATATTACTAATTCTTTATCTATTCTTAAAATCTCCGCTTTGTGAGCTTTTTTTATGAGTCGAAACTCTTCTTTAGATTTTGTAAAGATATTTTTATATTTGTCTAACTTCCCGTACCAGTTTATATTTGTAGATGCTTTTTGAACATCTTGTGCTACCGTTAACTGCATATCGATCTTGAATTCTATTGTTTATTTTCAATCTGTGCAGTATGACTTTAGGTTTTGTTTATGTGTTTGTTTGTTTGTTTGTTTGTATGTTTATATATCACGCACTTAGTGTGTTTATTTTTGCACCAGATTTGGACGCATTCTTGTTTGTTTACTAGTTTCGGTTTGGTATTGTAAACAGATCGGTGCTACAGGTAGTGATGCGAATGGCTAGAGCCGAGCCGCGAGCTGATCGGCTAAGCCGAGCCGATTATCGGCTCGGCTATGGGTCTACTAATAAGGTATCGGCTCCAAAAACAGCTTGGCTAAAACCTTGAAGCCGATCATCGGCTCGGCTATGGGTCTACACCTAATAAAGTACTATTAGCCAATAGTAGATAATCTAGTATCGTGACTTATACTTTTCTAACGATAACCCTTAATTATATTTTAATTCGAAACATTATAAATTAAAAACTTATTATCATTTATGCATTCATTTTTTTACTTTATTTTTGGTTTACTTTTTTTTACTTCTTTATTTATATGTAATTATAATACACGACAAATCTTTAAATAAATTAAAATGTATTAAATAAATCAATTTAAGTAATGACGTCTCATTTGATTTAATTTTAGTAATCATTCGCAAACTATCGTATCTAGCCGTTTTAACAGAAGGAACCATCGATGTTCCTCCTGTTAGCCGTTTTGCTAAAAATCTATCAACATTTTTAAACTTTGTTAAATAATAAGTTCTTACATCATTTGCATATTATCAACCAATTCGCTGAAAATCCTCTATTAATTTTAAAGTTATTTGCATACTATCAACCAGTTTGCTGAAAATTTATCAGCAATTTGAATCATAAACTTGACTTGGTAG